AAATATATTTTTTAAAAAACTCTAAAAGAAATAAAATCAATAATTTTTTCCTGTCAATTCGAGTCCCTTGCTAGAAACCCAAACCTCATTTGCACATAATTTACTTATGCAGCAAATCCCCACATGTACACCATACCTAAAATAAAATACAGTAAAATCCAGAGCAACAACAAGAACAACAGATTGGAGGCATACATTTTAAATGGACGCTAAGAAGAATCGGTGACCTTCTGATGACAACCCTTCTAGGAGGCAGCAGAGGGAGGCAACAGAAAGAAAGTTGGCCAACCTTTGCTTCCTTCTGCACATGTGTGATAGTAGTAGGCATTGCAAGGACTCTGGTGGCAGCCTTTCCACTTTTTTTACCCAGTATCCTCAAGTCTATGATTCCTACTTAGTAAGAATTAATTTTAATGACTTATAAACCACAATTTTTGTTATTTATTTACTAATCCTAATCTTAGATTACTTTTCTAAAGGCCTGCAAGGTGCATTAAATAACATTTAAGTCACACAGTTGGTTTTTCTTCAAAAATAAGCTAGAAAACATATGTTGCTGAGGAACAGTGGTTCAAAGCACAAGCACTGTCTGAAGGAGGCAAGCCCTATTCAGATGTATCTTTGACAAGACCCTAGCAGGTGCCTCTGTGTGGTAGGCAGTGTCCCAGATTCCCCCATAGGGACACAGCCTATTTTCTCATATGTGCTTGCTGCTGGAAGAATAAACAGTGCAGCTATAGGGGGGTACTGCAGTCCTTTGAAACCCTCCCACTACTTCAAGTGGGTATTGCTCCTAGCAACAGTTTATAGCAGTGAACTCGAAGGAAGAGGTACGTAAGAAAGAACAAGAGAAATAACATGAGACAAACAAAAAACCCTTTCACTCATGGGGAAATAAAAACACATGCAAATGCATTTTCAAAAGGATATGTATGTCTAAAAAAATATTGTGAAGTATTGTAAGCAAAATGACACAAATGATTCTCCTTGTCTTTTCATTTTGTCTTCTTTAAGAAACAAAACCAGCATTTCACAAATGAAAGGCATAAAAATGGCTCTGCTTAAAAAGCTGTTCCTGGCTTAGAATCACTGCACTGTGTTCAAGCCCCGGGCTGTGATAGTCTTCCAGGTGGATTTTGACAACTCATTAGCTAAGGTTTCATGTCTCCAGATGGTCTGAAGTTCCAACGTCTTCTGTTAACTATAGTTGCAGTGATAAAAATCTCAGTCCTCATAAACATACAGGGAGGTGAGATTGACTAAATATTTTTCAACTGTCATACCACAAAATGAAGAGTGCTCTTGTAGTACTTTTGTGTCAGGAGAAGGCATGGGGTCTAATCAACTCTAGTCCTTAAAATTCCTTCTGCCCATATAAGTTGTCAATTTAGCTTTAAGAAACACACTTGTCTCTGTTGGCTTTAATGATAACCCTGAGGGGTGGTTATTGTCATCCCTTATTTATATCAGCACCAAGAAAAGCCCTGGCTCTTATCGCAAAGTCAAGGCGGGTCTGTGGAGCCCCCAAAATGCCAAGCCCGGCCTGCACAGATGGACACAGACACAAATACTGATTTTTTTTTTCTTTCTTCACATATGAACATGTTCACTTTTAAAGGAGTGTTATGTATTTTGCAAGTTGATATGACCACCATTACAAAAAATAATACCTTTAACATAGTTGCTTCAATTCTGTCTGTGTGTTCTGTCTAGGATTATGTTAGTTTACTATTGCCATTAATTTATCATTATAAATATTTTTGAAATCTCACCTAAAATAGATTTATTGAAAGGCTTCTATGAAATGTTTTATCATTGGTGATCGTATACCTAAAAGTTTTCTAAATTTTAAAATTTATCTTAATTAGAATCCTAAGATAAATGGAAGAAAATGGGAAATAAATGACGTTTTAACAGGCAGTTACTTGAAGAAAAAACATATAAGTTTTGCTCATATGCTTGAGAAGTGTCTTTTTTGAAATCTATGTATAAATAACATTTATTGGCCGGGCTCGGTGGTTCAACCTGTAATCCCACACCTTGGGAGGCTGAGATGAGTGAATTGCCTGAGCCCGCGGGTTCGAGACCCGCCTGGGTAACTTGGCGAGACCTCATCTCTACAATAAAAATCAAAAAAATTATCCAGGCGTGGTAGCGTGCACCTGTAGTCCCAGCTACTTGGAAGGCTGAGGGGGGAAGGATTGCCAGAGCACACAAGGTAGAGGCTGCGGTGGCTGGGAGCAGCCACTGCACTCCAGTCTGGGTGACTGAGTGAGACTCCAACTCAAAAAAAAAAAAAGCCCAAGAAAAAAACCCCAAACATTTATCTAATTAAAATAACACAACTAATTTAAATGAGATAATTCAATAAATAGAATAAATTTCTTTTTAAGGAAAGCTTCCTTTCATTAAGGAAAAAGTGATGATTGAATTATTTTTTAACACTCTGTAAATAATTTGGGTATATCTCTATTTACTTATGAACCATTTCTGGAAGATAATTGAATATAGCAATTAGAAAAATAACTAAGGGACTGTTCTTTGTAATTTTCTTTTTTATGTTCCTGACTATGTAGATAATTTTTATTTTGATTAACTTGGAAGTAGTTGCAGAAGGAAGAAATAAAGGTTAGCAAGAGGAGAAAAATGTGCCAATGTGTCCATGATACCTCAATGATACATTTCCAATAAATTGCTCCTGTAGGATTGAGGCCAGGTCTCTGGGTCATTCTCTTCCCAGTGTCCCAGTAATCACACTTTTCCTCATCTGAGGTTTTCTTTTCTGCAGTTTTAGTTATATGTGTTCATCAGTGATCAGGAAACATGAAATGAAAATTTTCAGAAATAAGCAATTCATACATATGAAATTGTGACCCATGCTGAATAGTGTAATAAAATTTCTGACTGTCCTGTTCCGTACTGCCTGAGCTTAAATTTTCCCTTTGCTCACATATCATATTCTGTATGCAATCTACTCTACACAATGCGATTGTATTGGAATAAACACAGGATAAATAGAGTGTGGGACTATCCACAGTTTCAGGCATCTGCTGGGTTTCTTGGAATGTATCCCTAAGGACTAGGGGCACTACTGTATGTCAAACACTAAAAATAAATACAGTTTTTTCAGATATTGCATGACATTTCATCACATTTTTCTAATAGTACATCAAAAAGTAATTTGCAGTTGAGTTGGGAAAACTTTGATCCTGCCATAAAATCCACAATGTATTTGCCCCAAATTAAGATGTGTGGGAGATACGGGGGCCAGAGGATTGTGCAGGCTCAGTGGACAATCCTAATGCCTAACACTCGTAATTATTCCATGTTGCTCTCCCGCTGTGTTTGCATCTGGTATTAAATTTGGTTGAAGCTCAATAAGATTGCTGTTTCTTTTCATTGGCTTGGATATGCAGGCATAGAAACTATCCTGTTGAAGTTGGATTCATTTTATTAAAGCAAACCTCTCCGGGTCCTCTCTCTTCAGCACAATGCCCAGCAAATGAAGTCCGGACAGAATCATCTGGAGTAATTCTCAGCCCAGGGTATCCAGGCAACTATTTTAACTCCCAGACATGCTCTTGGAGTATCAAAGTGGAGCCAAACTATAACATTACCATCTTTGTGGACACATTTCAAAGTGAAAAGCAATTTGATGCACTGGAAGTGTTTGATGGTAAGTTTCTTTAATCTTGCATACCAGTGACCCCTACACCATTATTAGAACCACCATTATAATGTTTTAGTAACACAAGGACTTGAATATATTCTTGAATTAAATTATAGTTTACCAAAACAAACAAACAAAAATGAGATACTCTGGGATTGTACATTCTCTGGCATCAAGTGTTCTATAAAACATTATGATAGTATTGTAAATGTCACAACTTTTCAAACAATTAGGAAAGTATTGAATTTTCTTTAACCATTTCTTAGTTGTTTAATGTAGAGATTTACAGCAGATAATCTTAAACAGGTCTTCCCTCTCTTCTAAGAGTTATATTGATTCACAGGTATTTTAGGAAACTTAAGAGGCTTGGGGGGTATTTTAATCATATGAATGGTTATCTTACTTAGAAATATGTAAAAATTATTGTTTGGGGAGATTTCTAGATGGTAAATGCTACAGAGGCTTTTAATGTATGATCTTTAAAATCATACATTAGCACTGAATTGTCAATTTGAAATAGAACAGGTGTTAATATTTCTCTTTGTATAAAAGTATCATCCCAGCCCAGAGAATTAGACCAAATACAATTATGGCTGTTTATAATAACAGGGTTTCACATATTTTGATGGGTTTGTCATTGAGTTAAGATAAATAACAATCAAATCAGTGAAAAAATAAATCATTCTAACTGATTTGATGTGTGTTTATATGCATTTTACTGATTTGATGAATCATAACGGTCAAATTATGTACTTGTGTGGAGAGATACCACATGAAACAATTTATGTATTTTTGAACTACAACATTAAAAATTAAACTCACATTTTTATACAAAGACACAGAGAGCTGGAGAACAATATTTTTATTTTTAGAGCATTGCTTTATTTTCAAGTGTCTGTTAAAACAGGCATACATCATTAAAGACTTTTCCCTTAGTCTTTAAAGTCAAGGGAAGTAAATCATTAGTGAAGTATGAGAAAGGGATCACTTATATCAATGAGGAAGGTAGGTAAACATTGTCTGAGTCCTATTAAGTGTTACAAAAAATAAAATAAGAGCAGCCAACCTTTAATTGAAGGGGCAAAATTCTTATCGATAAATTATCCACTAATGGCTTATAATTTCATCCCCACCCAAATGTGAACAGATCATACCTATTAGAAAAGCAGGAAAAGTAGAGAATAGAGACAATATCACAACAGTTGCTGTCAAAATTGTCAGAGATCAATGACTAGGATTGTCCTAGTCTCAAAGATTTTTCTACAAAATGAAAGGTCAGAGTTTTATATGAATTTTTGTAAGCAATGGCATTTTTCTTGCAGTAAATGTCTTGTTTATATCCTCTCCCTTTTTTGTAAGACAGAGGCTTTTTTTAGAGTTCATGAATTGACCAAAAAAATACATGTTGAATATATTGATTTTAAGCTTGTTTTGTCCAGGAGTCTATTACTCTCTATGACTCAAGTAGTAAATATCCATAATTTTTTAAAAAAGGATTTTAACCATTATTTTATTTATTTGAGAAGAGTGACAAAATTAAGATTGTGAACTTCATTGGAAAAATACTTTATTTTCATCTTGGTAACAGCAATTCTATCTCCCTTTATGGACGTGCTGTTTTTGTACATGCGGAGTAGGATGTGTGCTTTTAAAGAACAGTTTTTCTAGCAAGTTTGTAACATTTTAGGGGGGAAAAAAAACAGATGGAATGAAATGTGGGTATAAATGTTAGATTAAGAATAACTTAAATTTCATTCTTGAGTTCTGTCAGTAAAAATTACATCTTAAAATATCATAAGATCAGGTTAATTAATTTCCCAGTGGCATTTTGATGTAGAATATACATTATTTCTTTAAACAACAAGAAGACAAGCAGGCCTGATACAGTGGCTCACACTTTTGATCCCAGCATTTTCAGAGGCAGGGAGTGAGGATCACTTGAGACTAGGAATTCAAGTTTACAATGAGCCATGATCTCTTCACTGCACTCCAGCCTGGGCAACAGAGCAATACACTGTCTCTAAAACAACAACAAACAAATCAGCACACCCAAAGCACAGCTCTGGCTTCTTCAGTTAAGCACAAATAAACTTCTTGCAAGGTATCTTTCAGGAAACTTGCATATAGCAATCTTTCACAATAAGAACTATCATTTCTTCTGATCCTCCGTCATTCTGTCCAAATTCAGCATTGCTTTGATTATTTTTAAGATGCTAGTTTTTTGTATTTGGTTAATACTGTCATCATAAAGTCCCACAGACTGGTTCGCTTAAACAGAAATTTATTTTCTTGTAGCTTTGGAGGCTGGAAGTTTAAGATCGAAGTATCAGCAGGGTTGGACTCTCCTTTGACTTCTCTCCTTGACTTACAAATGTGGTCTTCTCTCTGGGCATGTCTTTGTCCTAATGTTTTTTTTTTTTTTCTTATAAGGACACCGGTTGTACTGGATTAGTTAGTACTCATTTGGATGACTCCATTTAACTTTAATGATCTCTTCCAAGACCTTCTCTCCAAATATAGTTTACTTTCCAAAGTCCTGAATGTTAGGACTTCAACATATGAGTTTGAGAGGAACACAGTCTAGCCCATACCTATCTTATTTGGAAAAGTCATTAGATAGAATCATTGTGATTGAGGATTACACCATGAATAAAGTGTGGTTTGCCAACATCTTTGTATGAATAACATTTTTATGCTTAATTATCAAAGACAAGTGTCATCTAATTTCGTAAAATTTGTATTATGAATACAATTAGAGCCACATTTTCCCATTCTATAATGTATCTACTGGGAGTGAAGTGTGATATGTAGAAAAGCCACAAAAACTTTCAACACTTTGAAACAGAGTTGCATTCACTCACAGAGTATAGTTGTGAAGGAGACTGTGGGAGTGTGAATGCGGATTGTCAGTGTCTCTCAGTAAACAGCAGGGGCTACCATGATGAGGGAGGCTAGTTGACTTTCCTGGCATTTGCTTTTCTTAACTCTATTTATTTATTTATTTTTTGAGTTGGAGCCTCACTCTGTCACCCAGACTGGAGTGCAGTGACCACTCCCAATCACTGCAGCCTCAACCTGCTGGGCTCTGGTGATCCTTCCACCTCAGCCTTCCAAGTAGCTGGAACTACAGGCGCAGGCTACCATGCCTGAATAATTTTTGGTTTATTGTAGAGATGAGGTCTTGACAAGTTGCCCAGGTGGGTCTCGAACCCACAGGCTTAGGCAATCCACTCACCTCGGCCTCCCAAAGCGCTAGGATTAGAGGCTGAGTCACCAAACCCGGCCAGCTCTATTTAATTTTAACTTTGTTGTCTTTATTTTTGGAAAAATTTCAAATACTCTCACAGCAAAGTAAACAAAACTTAAAAATATGAATTTTAGTATTTTGTCAAGTTTACTTTAGGCCCTTATTTTATAAAGAAGTAAAGTGTATAGGTAATTTAAATGCTCTGCCTATATCAAATTCCTCTTGTACCTATACTAGAGGGAATGTTTCCTAAAATCAGAATGTATGGGTTGTTTTGCATGATTTTATAATTTATTTTCTTCCTTTCTGTCTATCTATCTAATCTGTCTATCATCTATCTATGTAACTATCTCTATTGGTATTGCATGCTTTTAAGTTTTTACATAATCACTATCATATTATATCTATCCAAGAACAGGTATTTTTAGTCATCAAAATACTATTTCAAGAATTATGCTAATATATGTATATCTAGTTTATTAATTTCAATACTGTATAAATCAGAAATGTTCATGGCATTTAAAAATTTTTTTTAAAACTCCAAACTCTCAGTTTGGATCTAAAATTAATCATGAGAAATCATACTAGGATAGATAGTTTTGCTATACAAATATTACTTTTGCTCATGTGCTAGGGATTTTTAGAAATATAACTAAAACTTAAATTTTACTACATATTGCTAAATTGTTCTCCAAAGTGATTGTACTAATTTATACTTCCAGTGTATAACATGAAAGTTTTTATTTCCCTGTGTAAGTACAATATTGCAAATACTGATGATAATACAAATTACTTCTCTTTTTTTTTAGGTCCATTTGATTTAAGTGTTATGTCATTACAATAGCATATATATCTGACATTACTTTTGTGAGTAATTGTTTTATTTTTTATCAGGGAGTATACTTATTTCTAAAATCATTTGGAATTTGCTGTCCACTTTGAGAACAAATTGCTGTATAATGTACATGATAACCTCAATTTAGTCAAAAACTAACAGTGTTCTTCATTTTGTAGTAGGTACACTTTCATATGTGAACTATTTTGTTTTTCTGTTTCATTTAGGTTCTTCTGGGCAAAGTCCTCTGCTAGTGGTCTTAAGTGGGAATCATACTGAACAATCCAATTTTACAAGCAAGAGTAATCAGTTGTACCTCCGTTGGTCCACTGATCATGCAACCAGTAAAAAAGGATTCAAAATTCGTTATGCAGGTTAGTAAATGAGGTCTAAATTTAATATGAAAGTGTTTTTAATACGTGCGATCTTTGTTAAACAAAACAATTGAATAGAGATTTACAACATAAACCTAATCTCTAAAGAGTAATAATTAATTGCAATAGAAGTAATATGATGAGAAATTATTTGGAATAATGTCTCTAAACTATATTAGGATATTCGTTGATTAATATTTTTAAATGTTATTGTGTAAATTACAAACCATTGAAATGTGACCTAGAAAGCAAAGACATTTCCCAAAAGATAAAGTAATACAATCAAAATTAATTTTAAAATATATTTAAATGTTAGAGGAGAAAACAGGAAATGATAATTTATTGCTATTAATTGTATAAGTGTTAATAATCTCTTAATATTAATGGCTATGTCTTGGCATCAGTCTATCTTTATGTCTTTTTCTCCTTATTTGTGCATTCACACTACATATATATCCATACATATATTTGTACATATAAATATATACATAGTAAATATATGTTTAATATATATTTGCTTATCAAATTGTAAATTATTTTATATTCTCACCATGTACTTTAATCATTCTTTTCCTGGTAGCTATTTATATTAATAAAATCAATTAGCATATAAATTAATATATGATATAGTAAATCCTGTGTACAGTTGTCAATTTGAAATGACCTGCACCATCACTTAAACTGCCCTACAAAGTTAACAGGCAGACTCTTTTAATTCCTGGGCACAATTTAATTACTAAACAAAAAATCTGAACTTTTCTCAAAATCTCACTCAGTGATACTTGTGGTAACATTTGAGTTATACTGCCCTAAGAAAGATACTCATTATGTATATACTAAGTAAACAGCGTGTGTTTCCAAAAGATTGCTTCCTCCTTTGCAGGCTTTTGGGGAGACATAAAGGGCAGCAGCCATGAAGTTTAGACATTCCTTCTCTGGAAAGTTTAATAAAATATACTCAGACCTTTGTTACAAAGACATGGGAGCAATGTTTGGATTAACATAGATTCAATTCATTGTTCCAAAAACCAGATACATAATCAGACTTTAAAGTTGCTTGAATGAATTTCCAATGTGTGGAAGTGGTCAGTGCAGGATAAATCATAATGAGTATAATTTATCTTGTTTTATCTGCAGCAAATTTCTTAGTAGCCTGGTGGTATCATTATACAGTGCATTGGGAGAACAATGACCACTATGTCTTTCAAAGGATATTTTCATAGATCAAACAATAAAAACATTATTTTTGTTAAATTGTATCAGAAGAAGGATTTACAATTCTTTTTGTTAAATTGTATCAGTGGAGATATCTATATATAGATATATAGATAGATATCTATATGTGTTTTATGTGTTGATTTATGTGTTTTATGTGTTGATTTATCTAAAATCTGTGATATATATCTTTATTTATGAACAGATTTTTCACTTGAAATTCAGTGATCTTCCTTCCTTCCTTCCTTCCTTCCTTCCTTCCTTCCTTCCTTCCTTCCTTCCTTCCTTCCTTCCTTTTCTTCCTCCCTCCCTCCCTCCCTTCCTTCTTTTTTTCCTTTCTCTTTCTTTCTTTCTTTTTCTTTCTTTCTTTCTTTCTTTCTTTCTTTCTTTCATCTGGGTCTCCCTCTGTCACCCAGGCTGGAGTGCAGTGACACAATCGTGGCTCACCACAGCTTCAACATCTTAGTCCCAGGCAATCCTTCCACCTCAGGCTCTCAAGTAGCTGGGTCTACAGGCATGCGCCACTCAGTCTGGCTAACCTTTTGCAGAAATGCCATCTCGCTATATTGCCTGGATTGGTCTCAAACTCCTGGGCTCAAGCAATCTGCCCCCATCAGCCTTTCAAAGTACTGGGATTAAAGCCCTAGCCACCACACTCAGCGATTCAGTGATTTCTTCAAAGAGTTCATCACCAGTAATTTTCAAGTGCTGGTTAAATAAAAATGTCTTTAAAATATTAAGATACTAGCAAGGGAGCTCTAGTCCCTAATATGATGTTCACATGACCACATACCACATCTTCAGCCTTAGTTTGCCTTACAGGAATGAGCTACCAACCATTCAGGCATAAGAACAATATAATTGATCACCTTAACTGAAGTCAAGTTAAAAAAAAAAGAAAGATAAAACAAGTGCCTGTCTAATAGTCATTCTAAGAAAATCCAATCAACTGAGCTGAGCAAATACTGAGTTAAGAATGTCCCGTCAATGCTACAAGAAGCATATGCAAGGCTATTTAATGCCTGTAATCCCAACACTTTGGGAGGCTGAAGTGGGAGGAGTTCAAGACCAGCCTGTGCAACAGAGTGAGACATTGTCTCTACAGATAATCAAAAAATTAACCCAGCATGGTGGCACATGACTGGAGTCCCAGCTACTCAGGAGGCTGAGGAAGGAGAATCTTATGATCCCAGGAGTTTGAGGCTATAGTGAACCATGATTGTGCTACTGTACTTTCAGCCTGCATGACAGAGTGAGGCTCTGACTCAAATAAAATAAAATGAACCATATGTAAGCTTCAATATTGGGAGAGTAAAAAATATAGATTGTTCTAGCATTCCCCTAGAAATTTCAGAATATCTGACTTTCCCAGTTTTCTTCTACCCTGATACCTTGCATGATTTTCTGTGTTCTACCACCACACCTCCCTTTCCCAAGATCTTACCAAGCAGAGTACAAAGATTGGGTCCTGGCCTTCTGAATTCTTCTTACAGCCAGGAACAGAGCCATACTATGGTACTATTCAGTGCTGTGATTTCCCTGCAGACTCCCTCCAAATCTTGCTGTAGGTGCTTGAGGCAAGAAGAAGGGTTTTGAGGTTCTGGTAGAAGAAAATGGAGTTATCAGAATTCACAGAGTTAGATGATCATCCTGCAAACTATATCCTTCAACACACTGAGCTGGCACATAATCTTCGGGTGATGCCCAAAGAACCTCATGGTCTCATTTCTCCTTTATAGGTTTTTCAGATTTCATGGATCTCATCCCTAACTTAGGAGAAAGTCATGGAGTCTGATCATTTTTCCCCATTACTATCTATTGTTCACTAGTACACTGATTCTGGGCAGGTGATATTATAGGTGACTGGTTATACTCATGCTTTTTCTAAACCAAATATTTGGGTTCATTCAAAACTTACAAGAGTTAGGTGTAGAACGACCATAGGTAGAAAATGTCATGACTGTTGGAGCTGTGGGTCAAGAGATTCTTATTATCATCAGTGGGTTTTCACTTAATAGAAATATGCCCATTAAAAAAAGAAGAAGAAGTGACACTTCAGAGGCACAACCTGCTTGAATATTCTCTGAGGGTACTTTCCCTAGGAATGTGGTTGACAATGGAGGCCAGACACACAGACATTGCTTCTGGGCAATGCTGTGATAGAAAACCTTCAGAAAGTTTCTTCTGAATTTATTTCTAAGGAAAGGTTCTACATTAAGCATTCAGACCTGAGTGTGTCTGCTTTTATATGGAAGTCCCACAGGGAAGTAGAACATCTAAAACCTCTTCTTTAAAAGAAACCAAGAGTTTCTAGTTTCCAACAACTTTCTCTGTTTTATTGTTTCGATTCATCTGAAGGGAGTTCACAGTATCTTATGGAGTAGTGAACTGGCCTTGTAAGGATATGTTTCTTTGTCTAGATGTGTAAATAATTTGCGAACCTTTTAGCCATCAAAATGTTACACTCTATGTGGGTACCACTATTATTTTAACAAATGCCTGTCTCCAATTTTAATGCCTTCCTACAAAGAGAATGATTAAAGCTATTGTGAGATTTTTATTGACCCAAAATAGTACATTTTCTTCAAAGATTTTATTCAAATCCCCTAACTTAAAAACGAAGCTTAATGACTACATGATTGTACAATTCACAAGGTTCACCTAATAACCCTAACAAGGAAAAAGTTAATGGGCTTGTTTATAAAAATGTTATATTCTTCTACTTTCTCCTTTTAAGTAATATTTCTTTTTATGTTGAGAATAGTCTTGTTTCAAGGATGGTGCCCTGAGTAGTACCCTATCATTTCTTATTCTGGTGATTGATGAGCTTATTTAGTGCCTTAGAGAAATGAGGGGGGACAGTCAATAAGACCCTTCTAGGTATTTCCTCACCACATTGTAGTCAGGATTCTACCTCCACAATGATAAACCACTGCGGGTGATCCACACATCAGAGTAAGAGACTAGCATCTTGGCTAGATTTGGGGAATGCTCTTTAGAACAAATCTGCATATTGGTGCTCACTTCCTACTATTTAGAAAACAGAAGTATTTAAAGTATACCATTCTCACCGAGGGAAATGGTGTTGGCTATTTGTTTATTCACTTATGTTTGTGTGTTTGTGTACTCACAGCACCTTACTGCAGCTTGACCCACACCCTGAAGAACGGCGGTGTTGTCAACAGGACTGTAGGAGTGGTTGGGAGTCAAGTGCATTTCTTTTGCAAGCCTGGATACCGAATGATCGGTCACAGCAATGCGACCTGTAGACGGAACCCCCTTGGCATGTATCAGTGGGACACCCTCTTGCCGCTCTGCCAGGGTAAGGAATGAACTTTGCATCCCCAACCTTAGTTTCCATGTTTTGTTCTGATTTTAACCACACGCAGAAAATGAGTGAAGCAATGATTAAGGATTAAAAGGTATGGAAACAAATTTAATGTTGGTTTATAACTGTACAAATTAAGCATTCCATGGGCCATGCAAGCATTTCAGACATCTACACTAGGCCTGCTTTAGCCCTGTAGCATGGATTCAGAGAAGCATCGTTATTTTAATATTTACTTGTACTTCCTCTTGAAGTAAAAACAAAAATGTGCCATCTTACTAAGATTCAAAATAATTTTTCTTGATAGTTGTACTAATTTAAAAAATTCATTACTGAAAAACTCATTTTCCTTAGTTTCTTCTAAGAACTCATTCTTTGAGTCATAAGCTCTGTATTTGATTTTTTTTTTTTTTTGGTCATTTAAATCTAAGACTTGTTAAAGTTGATTTCAATATTTCATGTCTTTTTTTGCATTTTATCTATCATATGCCTAAAAACCAGGTTTTCAAATAAGACTTTTGAATTTTAATTGAAGGCTTTAAAGTCATGAAATTTTCATAGTTTTGTCTTATCAAGGCTAATATTCATAATGAAATATATTAGTCTTTGAAAGCTAATTATTATTTATGAGTGGCATCTCATACTGGCTTCCTTTTTTCTCTGTTTTACTCAATATTAGATGTTTTGGTATTGCTCTATGAGACAATAGTAATACCTCACTTACTGTTTATGTCTTTCAGACACTTAGCTTGTATTACTTATCTCCAGAAATACTTTTATAGCGTAAAATAACCATAAAGACAGATTCAAGAAACTTAGGATATTAGGAATTTTTTTTCCTTTACAAAAATAATGTTTTTAAAGAAGAAATACTTTTCATTTGTTTTAAATGTCCTATGACTCTGGAGGGCCTGTCTTCAGCTCAGAGAGCATCCTGTGGTCTCTGCCCCATTGGTCTTGGGGATAGAATGCCAGTGAAAAAAATAATAACTCAAACAGTGACTGAGACACAGGACAGGGGTTACAGTAGGACTGGCTGAAGTTCCTGTGGTCATTTCCTATCCTCCTGAGGCTGAATCAAAACAGAGCCTGAATGGAACATGCCCTCGAGGTAGAATACAGAAAGATATGGAAAGGGACCTTCATGTCACAGGAGGTACTCACCAGAGGTAACATCCCGGCACATATCAGTCTATCTTTTTGATACATGAAGAGTTCCAAAAACTTATCAAGTTGGAGAAGTGACTTGCTGTTTCAATGACCAGTTGGGAAGAAATTAAGGATGTCAAGAATCTGTTTTTTTATAAGTCTTGACTTCTCTCTTCTTCTCCCAAGGCCTCCTCAGGCAGAACTACTTAATGCTGAGATAAATGACTCCGAAATAAAAATGGTGCACTTCAAACCAGGCTCTGGTGAAATCTACTTGTAGTTGTGGCTGAGCACTTGGGGAGAACATGATCCATGTATCTCCTCTGTGTGTTGAACATAACTGAGAAGCATGGCTTTACGGATGTGAGATCCCAGAACCATAGAAGGAAAGCGAAATCATCTTCCTTCAGATTTCTTCCTAGAGATAAACTACCTACGTAACTTTGTTTTAAAATCATAAAATATTTAAGAAGTGTGATCTTTTTCAAACAGACTCACAGTCTTCTATACTTTCTTTTAACCTTTCTAATAGCCAGAGAGTTAATGTGGTCTTGTTCTTTCTTCATAACTTTTGACCTTTAAAACTTGGAAGGACCTTGAAAACAATCTAGTTTAACTACTTATTTTTATGTATTTGAAACTGAGACACATAAAAGTTAAGTGACTTAATAGTCATAAAAATGTTGGTCTAGAATCCAGTCCCTCTGCCTGCCTTACCAGTGTGTAAGTAGACTTACTTCTTGCCAAAAAAATTATGCTTAAAAAAGAATCTTGCTGATGTGAGTTCTGAAAATAATCTGTATTTATGTGCTTAAATTCACTTACTGTGAATTCTTTTAGTCATCTCTTAGCTATTTACCATTTGTGTAAAATAGCATTTTAATTATGATAATAAAATATTTTCATAATATGTGAGGCTGCAATGCTTAAAAAAATAGTAGGAAATCGGATTTTTGAACATTTAAATTATGTAGTTCAAGTGAATCAGCATTTTTATAATTTTAAAAATAAAATGAAAATTTGGTAAAAATGGTTATCTAGATAGATGAAGGCCATTGAGAAGGAATTGTAAAGGTTTTAACTAGCATAGGTTATATAACATATATTGGCAATATACACCCCAAAGGTCTTTTGCTTATGCTTACAGTCAGGCAAGTTGATTGAATTGAATATAATGTATAATATATAAATGTGGGGGTTTTTTTGCTATGTGTACAAAAGGGAGATTTGATTTGTCTAGTATTAATTATTCACTGTCCTTCTGTTACTTATAGAATGCAGAATTTTAATGCAGTATACATGCATCCCTAAATTATAGAAGCCTTTGGCTTCATCTGATGTAGTTATGAGGAGGCATTGTGAATTTTCAGCTGCTTTCCTTCTGTGAATCATCTGTGGTGTGTTGTGTATTATGCTAGGAGCACTCCCCCACCAGTTCATAGATGTGTTACATGGTTGTGTGTGCTAGCTGTGGAGAAACAAAATAAATATGACTTCTTTCTTCCCAAGAGACTCATAGCTTAATCATAAGAAAGAATGATAAATTGTGGAAACTGCTATGATAGATACCATGGTCTAGAACATATATTTATATATTAGGCTGTCTGCAATTAATTAAGCAGCATCCTTTGTAATGTGCAAATAGAACTCTTTCTTTTTTCTTAATTTAAGGATGCGGGGTACAGTTCAGGGGTAGGTATACAAATGTTCATTGTACAGGTAAAGTTTGGGCTTCACTTTGGTACTCACTTCACCTGGCTTGAGATCAGGTATCCTTGTTGATGAAGTGTGCCCCCTCCCCTGGCAGTTTCCCACTGCTGCCAATCCCCTTCCTATGTATTAATGATAATTGTTCAGGTCACTTATGAGTGAGAGCATGTGGTACTTAGCTCTTTGTTTCTGTGGTACATCACTAGGTATTATAGACTCTAAATCCATCCAAGTTGCTATGAAGTTCGTAATTTTGTCCTTTATGACTGCATATATTCCATTGTGCATATGTACCACATTTTAAAAAAATCCAGTCCACTTTTGATGGGCAGCATGTTTGGTTCCATGTTTTGCTGCAATACACCTGTGTGTGCAGGTATCTTTTTCATAGAGTGATTTGAGTTTCTCCAGGTATATTCCCAGAAGGAGGATTTCTGGGTCATATGGAAGGTCAATTTTTAGATCTTTTAGGAATTGCCACATTGTTTACCACAGGGGTTGCACTATTTCACACTCTAACCAACAGTGTAGAAGTGTTCCCTTTTCCCCACATCCTCTCCTGCATCTGTTGTTTTTTGAGTTATTGATGGTGGCCGTCCTGACTGGAGTTAGGTGGTATCTCAATGTGTTTTAATTTGCATTTCTTTAATGATTAGTGAGGCTGAGAATTTTTTTCATGTATCTGCTGGTTACTTGTATGTCTCCTTTTGAGAAGTGTTTATTCATTTGCCCACTTTTTAACAGGGCTATTTGCTTTTCTCTTCTTGGCATGTTTGAGTTTCTTGTAGGTCCTAGATATTAGGCCTTTGTCAGATATAGTTGGCAAATATTTTTTTTCCCATTCTGTGAACTGTCTCCCCACTCTCTTGATGGTTTCTTTGGTTTTACAGAAGCTTTTCAGTTTGATGGGATCTCACTTATCAATCTTATTTTATGCCATGGATATTTGTGGTTTTGATCAGAAATTGATTTCCATTTCTTTTCTTTTTTTTTTTGAGTTGGAGTTTCACTCTGTCACCCAGACTGGAGTGTAGTGGCCGCTCTCGACTTGCTGGGCTCCAGCGATCCTTCCGCCTCAGTCTTCTAAGTAGCCAGAACTACAGGCGCATGCTACCATGCCTGGCTAATTTTTTTGATTTATTGTAGAGATGAGGTCTCACCAAGTTGCCCAGACGGGTCTCAAACCTGCGGGCTCAGGCAACTCACTCACCTCAGCCTCCCAAAGTGTGGGATTACAGGCTGACCCACCGAGCCCGGCCATTTCCGTTTCTAATGTCCATAAGACTCTCCAGCATTTTCTAAGGTTCTTATAGTTTGAGATTTTATGTTTAGGTCTTTGATCCATTTAGAGTTGATTTTTGTATATGGTGATAGATAGGAGTCCTGTTTCATTCTTCTGCATGTGGTCAGTCAGTTTTCCCAGTACCATTTACTGAATAAATTCTCATCTCAGCAGTGGTTGTTAGTGGAGACATTATTGAAAATGAATTGGTTGAGAAATTGAGGTTTTGCTTCTGGAATCTCGATCCTGTTCCATTAGTCAAGTCTGGAGGTGTGTTACCTCCCACAGTGTTTCTTTTGCTGAGAATTGTTTTGGCTATTTGTGGTTGTTTATTTTCCATATGAGTTTCTGCGTTGTCACTTCTAGGTCTCAGAAGAATGATGTTGGTAATTTAATGGGTATTGCATTAAATCTGTAGATTGCCTTTGGTAGGATGGACATCTTAACAATATCAAGTCTTCCAATCCATGAGGATGGAATATTTTTCCATTTGTTTGTGTAATCTTTGATTTATTTGAGCAGTGTTTTGTAGCTTTTGTTGTAAAAGTCTTTCACTTCTCTGGTAAGGAAGATGTTGAAGTATTTCATTCTTTTTATTGCTATTGTGAATGGGATTGTGCTTGATATTTGGTTATCCTCCTATTTATTATTGCTGGTGTATAAGAATGTGACTGTTTTTTGCACATTGATTTTGTACCCTGAGACTTTGCCAAAGTCCTTTATTAGTGCAAGAAGGTTTTTGACAGATTTGCTTGAATGTTCAAGGTATAGAAGAATCATGTCATCAGGTGTAGAGGGATAATTTGACTTACTCTTTTCCTATTTGGACACTGCTGATTTTCTTCTCTTCTCT